GCATACTTTTCTCAAGTGCATAAAAGACATTCTCTGGACTACATAACACCATAAAATTAGCTTCAATAAATCCAAAATTACGCTTTTTGGCCACACTAGAATGAAATTAAAAATTAATAACAGAAGGAAATATGAGAAAGTAACAAATGTATAGAAATGAACATTTTTAAAGAACCAAAGGATCGAAGAATAAATCACAAGAAAAATTAAAAGTCATTTTGATACAAATGAAAATTGAAATACTCATACCAGGAATACTACCACAGCAGTGCTGAGAGGAAAATTTATGGCTATGAGCACTTAGGTTAAAAAAAGATGTCAAATCAATAACCTTTCCTCAGGAAAATGTGAAAATATAAGCAAAGTAACCCTAAGCTATAAGAAAGGAACAATAAAGACTAGAGCAGAAAAACCAAAGTTGGTTCTTTGATCTTTCTGGTTTTTTGGTGGTGGGGTTTTGACTCAGGACCTCACACTTGCTAGACAAGTGCTCTACCACTTGAGCCACCCCTCCAGCCCTAAAGCTGGTTCATTGGAAAGATCCAAAAACTTATCAAACCTTTTGCTGAAGTGACCAAAAAATTAGAATGAATGATTCAATTACCAAAATTCAGAAAAGGGGACATCACTATTAACCTTACAGATACAAAACTTTCTCATATAGATTATGAGAAAAATACCAAAAAAAATTAGATAATCTAGCAGTAATTGACAAATTCTTAAAAAAATACCAGTATGGAAACTGACTCAAGAGCAAAATTCTGAGACTAAAAACCAGTAAAGAGACTAAATTTCTACAAATTTAGACTTTCCACAACATAAGACCAGGCCCAGATGGCTTCACCTGTAAGTTTTGACAAAGATTAAAAGAATTAATTCCAATTCTCTCAAACTCCTCTAAAAGGCAGAAGAGGAGGGAATGTGTTCTAACTCATTCCACAAGCCCAGAATTATCCTGATAGTAAAGCCAGACAAAGTTTGCAAGATCCCATCTCAACCAATGGCTGGGCATGATGGCACAGGCCTACCATCTCAGCTATGAGTGAAGCACAAATAGGAGGGTGGTGGTCCAGGCTGCTACAGGCATAAAGCAAGACCCTATCCCCCAAATAACCAATACAGAAAGGGCTGGTGGGGGTAGCTCAAGCATGAGGGCCTGAATTCAAAACTTAGTACTGAAAAAAAAAAAAGATGAAAGACATCAGAAGAAAATTATGAATATAGACACAAAAATCCTCAACACAATACTAGCAAACTGATCCAAAGGACCTATAGCATGACCAAGTAGGATTTATCCTAAGAATGCAAGACTAACACCTGAAAATTAATTAATAAGCCATAACAGTTGAATGAAGGACAAGAATCACATGACTACCTTAACAGATGCAGGAAAAGCATTTGACATATCCAACAGACTTTAATGATAGAAACATTCAAAAAACTAAGAAAAGAAGTTTTCTTCAGTCCAATAAAGGCAAAAGTAATTCACAGCAAAAAAAAAGAAAAAATTACACTTAATAGTGAAAGCTTCTCTAAAATCAGAAATATGACAAAGATGTCTATCCTTACCATTTCTTTCAATATGGTATTGAAAGTTTAGCCAGGGAAAATAGGCAAGAAAAAAGAAGTAAAGAGACACAATTGAAAAGGAAGAAGTAAAATTATCTCTACTCACAGAAAATATGATCTTATATATAGAAAATCTTAAGGAAACCACTAAAAACTATTAGAATTAAGAAACAAGTTCAGCAAGATTATAGCATACAAGATGAATAGACAAAAATAAGTTGTGCAATGAACAATCTGGAAATGCAATTAAGAAAAAATATCTATTCACACACAATAGCATCAAAGAGAATAATAAAACTTACAAATAAATTTAACAAATGAAGTACAAACTTGGACTCTAAAAACTATAAAACATGGCTGAAAGAAATCAAGGAAAACTGCAAAAAGGGTAAAGATATCCCATACTTAGGGATCAGAAGTCTATGAAAACTGTTAAGGTGACAATGTCCCTTAAGTTGACTTACATGTTCAAAAACTAGCTTTATGAAAACGCTAGCTGTTTCTGGTATCTTTACCCGACTGTAAGCCCAGCACTTGGGAGGTGGAAGCCAGCCTAAAGCTACATAGTGAGACAGTCTCAAAACAAAACAACAGTAAGAATCCTGGTTGTCTTTTATGCAGCAATTAATAAATTGATACTAACATTCACATGGAAATATAAATAGTCAAAACAACCTTGAAACAGAAAAATAAGATTGGAAGATGCATGTGTCCTGATTTCAAAATGATGACGAAGTTACAGTAATGAGGGAGTGTGGTACAGGCTTGCATATAAATGTTTGGATTTTTGGAGCAGAATTGAGAATCCAGATATGTAAATCCTCACATTTATTGTCAGTTGGTTATCAACAAGGGTACTAAGATACCTCAAAGGGCAATGAATAATATTTTCAACAAGTGGTGCTGGGAAAACTGCATACCACATACAAAAGAATGAAACTAGACCTCTTCCTCATAACCCCTGTGAACAAGTCAAATGTATTACAGACCTACATATAAGACTTTAAAATTCACAAAGACACAGGAGAAATACTTGTGAGTAAATTAAGCAAAGCCTTCTTAGATAGGACACCAATAGGACAAGCAGTACAAATTTCATTTTCATCAAAATTAAATCTTTGTGCTGCTATAACAAAACCATCAGGAGAGAAAATAATTGCAAATCTGATACGAGACTTGTATCAAGAATATATAAGACACAGGCTTGCCCTAGCATGCATGACACCCTGAGTTCCATCCCAGCACTCAAATACACACACACACATCCCATTTATAACTCAAGAGCAAGAAGACAACCCATTATATCAAGAAAAACAGTTTCCCTCAAAATATTAACCAGAGTTTCTATAAAACTTAGCAATTCCACCCTTACATATACACCCAAGAGAAAATATTTATCCACACAAACACTTGTATATAAACGTTCATATCAGTATTATTCATAAGTCAGAAAGCATGTATCAGCTGTGAATGGTAAACAAACAGTAGTAAATCTGCAACAGGATTTGGTTTGGGAATAAAAAGGAACACAATACTATTACTGCTACACCATGGATGTATCTTGAAAATAATATGCTTAGTGAAAGAAGTCAGTCACAAAAGAATATTTTATTATGTCATTTATATTAAATGTCCAGAATAAGCAAAAACAAACAAACAAACAAACCACTGAGCTGTGTGCTTCAAACGAGTGAACTGTACACTGTAAGTGGTGAACTATATGGTATATGGATTGAATTTCAATATAGCTGTTTCAAAAAGCTCACATAAAGATAGGGATAGCCTTCCATCATTTTTATGCCTTACTTAGCATCCACTGCAAACTTGGGCAAGAAGTCTATCTTATGTCTGTTTCTCATTCACCCATATCGTAATGCCCACTTTTGTTTTACACAGAGCAGATGATCAATGAAATACCTGCTGAATTATTTTGCTTAGTAAACACTTCACAGACAACCTAAAACTTACACTCAATAATGACATACACAAATGCCAAGTCAGTAATGAATGGCCTCATACAATAACTCTTTGTATGTTTTCAAGCATTAACACATGACTGGTGGTTATAATAAACTTTTTACTTCAGTATTTTAATAACCATCCACTAGTTATGACAAACTTCTTAAGAGAAAACTATTTAAGGATACTGGTAAGAGAAAAATTAACACATTGTTTCAGATTAATAATAAAAAATTTACAGGGCTGGGTGTGGTGGTACATGTCTATAATCCCAGCTACTTAGGAGGATGAGGTAGGAGGATTGTGGTTCAAGCCTCCCCTGACAAAAGGTTCTCTGCTCAATCCCTAATACCATTAAAACAAACCAACCAACCAACCTCAAGTGTCAAGTTACAAAGACCTGCACACCCATGTTTATTGCAGCACTGGTCACAGAAGCCAAATTATGGAAACAGCCCAGAAACCTGACAACTAATGAATGGATTAAGAAAATTGGTATATATACACAATGGAGTATTACTCAGCCAAAAAAAGAATGAAATTATGTCATTTGCAGGTAGATGGAAGGAACGGGAGACCATAATATTAAGTGAAATAAACCAGGTTCAGAAAGACAAAGATCACATGTTTTCTCTCATATTGGAAGCTTGACCTACAAGATAAATGTATATACACATGATCAATATATATGTAAACATGTTTATAATAATGGGTCTGTTTGAGGAGACCATGCAGAGGCAGAAGAGGAAAAGGATAGAGTAAATAATACCGAAATACACTGCATCTGAGTATGAAGATGCCGTAAACACACATGGAAAGCTGTTGTGTAACAGGGGAGTAAGGGGATAGGGAAAGAGAGTAAGAGTTTAATCTGATTAAAGTACAACATACTCATATGTGAAATAGCGTGCAATGAATATCCACTAGAAAAAAAGAAGAACAACAATATAAAATATGTTCTGTTTGAGGGAGGGCCCAGTGGGTGGGCAGATAAGGCCTACGTATTTTATACATAGTATGAAAACAGAACATTGAAACTGTTTTTAAGAAGGGAGTAGGGGATGAGGGAGAATGATGTGGAGGGTGAGCCTAACCAAGGTACTTTGTGAACATAAATGGAAACGTCACAATGAAACTCCCTCATACAAACAATATATGTTAATAATTTTTTTAAAAATAGCCATGTTAAATGTATAAGCTGACAGTGGAAATCAAATATGTGAACACACTATAAAAACAAAGGTTTAAATCAAAACGTTTTTCATGATCATTTAAAACAATAAAGCCTCCACATGTCTTCTTTTCATGGAAGGAGATGTGATACTTTTATAAATCATACTTGAAGCAAAGGTGTTTTGTAGGAAGTTGGGAGCAAAGGCGGACAGAATCACAGCCTGTTGGTCTCCTAGCATATTATATTTCACATCACTTTATCACATTTTAATGACTTCACTCTCTTAATTTTGACTCACCAAGTCTATAGAATCTACTACTGGCTGGTTTGACTGAAATACAGAGTCGTCGCTTTCATCTTCGTTCTTTTTGCAAGGCATTTGCTTAGAAGGAAGCAAATTATACCACAGGGTGAAAATCTCATTGGAAAATGGCAAATCTGCTAGGCTGATCTGAGTGCCAGCCTACAGGAAATGAAAGAAAACAAAGGGAAAAAAAAACAATAAAAAAAAGAGAGAAATAAAACGCTTAAATTAGTATTTGTTCTCTCTGATACGACAGATTTTTGGGTGAGCGTGTCTTAAGAGTAGCGATTAACACCATGTTCATGACGTGATGCACTGGTGAGTGTTTAACGCCTGAGACGTTTTATATTTTCATTTCAGCTGTGGCTGAATAAGAAATAATGCCCATCTGAAGGATAATCCTGGGATTATTTTGCCAACACCTAATGACTAAGCATGCAACATTTATTTTATAAATGTGGAATGTTTCAATGAAAAGTTAAAAACAAAAGTAAATGACTAGGCCTAAGCCACAGTATTTCTTATAATGTAACAGTGACATGATTATTACTCACATACACACCAATAAAACGTTTTCTACCGAAAAATTTAAAATGAACAATTCCACTTCGGCTCTTGAATGAGAAATTGGCAAAAATTTTCTTTGTATACACAAGTAAGTGAAAAGTCTAAAAAAGACCAAATTTAAAGGCTATCATATTCAACCAAATCATACATACCTGGAATATAATTCAATTGTACTAATTTTAAAAGGCTATTGATTAACATAGTTTTTTACTTTATTGGTGCCTTTGATGTATACTTATTGTATGGCATTTATTATACTAAGCCTTTTTTGATAGCATAATGAATCATAATGAATCTATCTTCACTTTTTTCTTACTTTATTGTCAGATATTATCAAGCATTTTTTTTCAAGTAAAGAAAAAATTAAGAAGAAGCCTATCATCCTTTTCATCTTTTCTCATCGTGTAACGTGTGTGCTTCCTACAGAGCAGCTCTAGGGCAGATCCACATTGGTTCATTTCAAAATAACACACAAAGTAACTTTACTGGTAAGCAAAGGTTTCACTGGTTACTATGCACAGCAGCGTGTTCAATTCACTGTTAGTTAAGGAGGAAGTCTGCTGTTGTATGGAAACATTGCATTGCTCTAACAGCAACACTTCTTCCTAGAAGCTCTAATACCATGGTGAGGGAAATGAACTGGATAAAGGCACCATATACTCAGTGTTTTGCTTTATTTTAGTTAGTAGCAGGAAATTATGGGTAGGGTATCTTTTTGATATCTTGCTCTATCATTCACTATGTGTGTGACCCTCTAAGCATCTCTTTGCCTGAAAATAGGGGACACCACACCTTCCACAACTGATCTTTCATAAGACTGAAAATTAAAGGAGCTCATATATATATATACAACACCCAGCAGAGGGTGTGGCATTGGACACTCCATAAGTGATGGTCATAACACAGGTAAAAGTGCTTCTGTGGTAAAGGGTAGAAATAGAAAGTACAGCTTTACAGAACACCACAACTTATAAGCAGATTTTAAAAGTCTGGAATATGTTGGAAAGATGTCTGCAGTGGTTTCAGGGCTGACAAAATAGCAACCAGAAAATACATTCCCAGAATACCAATCTTAAGTGTTACTTCATAACAAAGGATCCTACCAGGCATTCTTCCCTGCGGTGTTTACTGACAGAGCAAAGATCAACTCGCAGAGTCTTCTGCTGCAAGGCTGTTTGGGAAATGGCCACTCTAAATACGTCATTGAACAACACAGATTCTGTGGGGGGGTGGACCTTTGTCCGGAATAGACAGCTGACATCCATTGAAGAGGGAAGTACAGCAACCCTAAAATACCTGGAAAGAAGAGCAAAATGAATTTCATAGGTATTTCAATTGCAGTGGATTCAAGCTCTCATTTGCAATTATCTGTAAAAGAGAGAAAATGAGGAAGCATGGAGTTCCTTATCAACCTAAAGCACTGATGCAAAGATGCTCCATTCTTAACCACACATACTGTGCTCCTGAATAAGCACCTGCCCCGCCCACCACTCACCATGAACTGCAGCAAAAGCATGTGAGGAAAATGAGAGGAAGAAAGCCTGTAGGTAGATGGAATTTATCATCCCATCTGCCCCATGTATGTATGGCCAATTCCATACATACACGGTGATGGCCCCTCCCAGGAATGGAACACATTAATCTATAGAGAAGAAGAAAAGCTAAGTAGCATATTGTTAACAAGATTTAAAACTGAGAAACAGCTGTTCAAAAATATCATGGTCCAGCATCTCTGAAGTTGCAGATAGGACAAACTCTTCAACAGAAACTCATGATTTGCAAAATCAAAGGAGGAATTATAGCAAGACAACCACTTCTAATGCTGCTTTAGAGTGAATTTTCTGAGTGCACCTATGAGGACTCACAATCCTTGGAAGAGCATCAAAGGGAATAGCCACTAAATCTTTCCCCTGTTCCTACTTCAGGTTTGTCTAATTCATATTTTTTAAAACATGCCCTTTTCTAATTAGAAACACTGTAAATTCAAACACAGAACTGAGGAACATCATATTAGTTTTATATCAACATTATGGAGATTCAGCATTAAAGACCTAGTGGGCCTTGGGCCACCACTGTTGGTTTGAGGCCTTACTGAGTCACAGCCTACCCTCCCTCGCTGGAAGCTGGAGGTCCAGCAGAAGAAAGTCTTTTTCTCTGTCTTCATGGGAAAGTAAGCATATTAGAGGTAAAATGGAGGGAAATTTTTTGTTTCTCCAGCCTTCGGGGTTTTTGTTTTGCAGTACTGGAGTTTGAGCAAGACCCTGTGCTTGCCAGGTAGGCACTCTACCACTTGAGCCATGCCCAGTCCTTTTTCATTTATTTTGAATAGGGTCTTGCATTTATGCCCAGGCCAGCCTAGGCTTTGGTCCTTCCATGTATGCTTTTTGAGCCACTGGGTGACAGGTGCACACCACTACGCCTAGTTTTTATTGGTTGAGATGGGGACTCATGAACCTTGAACTCTGATTCTCTCACTCTGCCACCACAGCCAGACAGCCTTCAGATTTATTCTGTACCAGTGGCCTAGCCACTTGAGTCATCTCAAAATGCTCCCACATCAAACAAAATGAGCTTCCATGGATCAGAGGCAAAGGCAAAGGCAAAGCAGATGGGTGCTTTTCTTCCACTCAGCTGGAGGAGAGGTTAAGCCATGAGCCACTCACAGGAAACACTGTGGCTGTTGTCAACCAGCTGAAACACCAACTCTACTTACCATAATTAATAATCAAAAATGAAGTTTTAAAGTTGGGGGGAAAATAAAATTTGGGGATATTTTTTAGTAGTTGCCATTTTTAGCAGCGTCATTATTTAGGCCGAGGATCTGAGGATTTAAGAAAATGTTGCCATACGTCTTAGGAAATTTCACACCAGCTAGACGAGTAATTGCACCCATCTGTGGAGCAGCTGCACATTCTATATCGTCAACTAGGTTAGTGCTGTTATTACCCTGGAACTACCCTGGGTGTCAACACATCTCCAGAATGCACTCTGTGAGCTCTGAGGTAGGTGACAATGACCGTGACCTGGGTAACTGAGGAAGAGTTATTTGGGTAGACACAGTCTACAATATGAGTTTAAAGAAAGGACACGTCTTTGGGGGTGTCCTGTAGCTTTCTACTGGACTTGTGAGTTGGTTCCCACTGTTCCTGGAGTCAATCTCTGGTCCTATCTCTTCCTTGATCTACTTTACTAACAGGCCACTAATGGTCCACTCTAGTATCACAATACTGGAAGGAAGAAGTTCCATAGAGTATCATCAAGCCAGTCTTCCCTGAAAACCTCCTTCTGTTATTTTTAATCACAGGTCTGGGAAGCAAGGGTCTCTGTGGTGATCCAGCAAGTGCAGTGTTAAACCTTTTCACATTATGTAACAATATTGCTAGTCTCACGACTGACGTGCGTCCCCCACGCTTTGATTTTATCAAGGCCCCTTCCTCTTCTGAGTCCCATACAGCTTCAATGCTTAGCAATAGATAGATAACTACTCTATTCATCTGTTGTCTACTAAATAATCTTTTAAAAAACTTTTTTCTAAATAATCTTTACCTACCTTTTTTTTTTAAATTTTGGTGGTACTGAGGTTTGAACTACAGCCTTGCACTTGTTAGGCAGGAGCTCTACCACTTAAACCATGCCTCCAGTCCTTGATCTAGCTCTTTTCTTAGATTCAGGTTTTCTCAGGCAATTCTTGAATATGAGGATATGAACTTAAAAGTAAGCCTGCAAGGAAAGCATCCAGGACTCTTCCATTTACTCTGTGAAGAGCCTGCTCATGAGGAATATATTCTGTTGTTAAGGAAAACATTTACCTGACTCTGGGTATAGTCGTGAGGGTCACCTGCAATAGTTCTTTTTTATTACCAAGCCCTGGTTCAAAATATCACTAATATCTACATTTTATAGGAAGTCTAAATGCAGAGTAGACATATGGATTCTGTATTCTAAGTCAGAGATGCTAAGCTGAATTCTGTCTTTTTTGGTACTGTCTAGCCATGAGCCTTTAAGAGAGTTACTAAAACTCTGGCTCTAGAAAGTGTGAATGGTGGTAAAGATCTCTAGAAAGACCTGTTAGGACAGCCTTGAAGCAATGGACTATGTAGCATTATACCCTCTCTTTGTTGGGATTCTGGGTTTGATGCAGTAAAATAACTTTAAGATGTTTTTGATCACAGGGAAGTGTATGCTAGATGATATAAATGTACTCTTTTGTGTAGCATGAAAAAAAATTTTCAGTAGCAATGTTGTACTGATAAAAAAAATTTAATCATTACATTTTCATGTAAAAGATAATTCCTCAGAACCAGTAGTAGTAACTTACTATGTAATAGTAGAAACTGTAACTGTATTTTAAACAACCAGGCCCCAAAGAGGCATAATACAGAATTTTTGGTTAAAAAAGGAATTAGAAAGTCTTGATTACTATTCTTAATAATGAATCACTTGACTAGAGACTAACATTCAGTTGGCCTTTCTCATATTTTCCTTCTCTTCACCTTTATCTACTGCTGAATTAGACATAATCAACTCTGCTATGTCTTTCCCGTATCTTCATTTTGATGAACCACTCCAACACAATGCAAAATTATCTCATGGGGGAAATTTTAAGCTCCTCAATTTCTTCCTCACTGTATATTTTACTTACACTTTTGAAGTATGAGGTATCAAGAAGGCATGAAGATTTCGGAGTTGTGCTATAATCACCATGAAACTTGAACTTTTTGCATTGTATCTGTCAAAAGAGAAGCTAGATGAAATAAGGAGTAACCACAGCCCACTGGTTGGGCACAGATCCCAACTGCCCCAATGCACATTGTTTTACCTGAGTCCTATCTGCACCTGGGCAGTCTCCACAATGGCACCATCCTCTTCGCTATAGGGAACATCTTCGATTTCACTAGGCCTATGGACAGGGAACAGGTGGTTATTGGGGATACTAATTGTTAGGGCTGCTGTTTACCACTCGATGATTTTGAATGAAAAGTTGAATTAATAGCACTCTTCTCCCATCCCAGTAGAAGCTTACTGTTTGGAAGGCTTTCTTTACTTCTTCAAGAGTTTGACTACTAAGCTACATCACATATTCAGAGATATCGAGGCTTTCGGAAATACACACGAGAAGTGTGTACCAAATAGGCACTAATGAATCACTCCAACATGCACTCTAAAATCAAGTTTCTTAAATCTTAATGAGGGTCAGCTATACTAGTCTGCTTATCATTCCCATGGCTGATGGGATGTTTCTGGTATATTGGGACTTTCTAGCACACCATGCTTTTAGTGGCTAAAGTCCTTACTACTCCCAAGGGTGGAATAATGGCATCAGAACGTTTACAAGGATAACACAGAGGCCTGGCTAGAGGCAATACAGAGGAGCTAAGCACTATGGCTGGGTCCTTACTGTTTCATGGAGGCTTCATAGACCCCGCTGTCTCCAGCCACAGACTCATCAGATACAGCTGCCGACACACAAGCAGTTTTTTCCCCAGGCAAGTGGATCACTCTTCTTTTTGGTAATGATTTTTCTACATCTAAGAGGGAAAGAGAGAGAGAGAACAACAATTAGCATTTCTTATAAAGAAAAGTATAAAATACAGACGAAGTTTACACATGAGAAATCCAAAATGCAAGTTTCTTCTGAGTAAAGGATGCTACTACTCACATCAATAGATGTGGACAAGTCAAGACTGTGACATAAAATTGCTGGGACAATAATTATTTCAGTTGTCATTTGGGAAAGAATACTTATTTTTGTCCTGAAATATTTTAAGGGAAGGGATGCACAAATTCTCACTGATCCCTAGCCTCTTTCCTTCATTCATAAACTACTGTACATGTGGGTAAGAAGCTATGTCACCTCCTTAAGTGTTAAGACATACTCTTATTTGGAGGCTTCTAGACAATCAAAGTTTCTATGTCAGTCTTTCCATGTCACAGTTTCCACGACTTTGCTCTATGCTCTTCTCCACAGGTCATATTCTCTGTCTCCTGTGCCACTATTCCAATGGAAATTAAACTGAAAACATCTTTGACTTACAGGAATTCCTCACCAGCTAATACCATAAAAAAACAACAACAACAACAACAAAGTTTTTGTATTAAGAAATCTTTAGCACCAACTACCACTTAACTTTTATCTCTAACTCATATTCATACGCCAGCATCCTGCAGTGAGCAAGGAGCATTCATTTAAAGCCGTGTTTGGTACTGTAATAAGCTGCAAGCCTGCCGAGCTCCTTTCATCCTCCAGTGAGAGAGCCAGAGGATCAGCATTGGTATGCATTTCAGCCCCCCTCTGAGTCGTGACTTTACATCTTGTTAAGATGTTTAAGTTTTAAGGCTTCAGATTACAGGATTGATTGCTGCATTTCCCCTTTTATTTCTGGCAGTGGGAATGCTTTTTCCTTGATGATGAAGTGCCTTCTCTCCACCCACCCCCCTTTGTGAGGGGTGAAGGTGATGACATGATTTATTGATTACCCCCAGGAATAACCACAGCAGCCTGAAATTAACTTTGACAATGACAGAGACTGCCTGTGAAAAGACTTCATAGTTATTCCGACTTGGTTTCTGTCATCCAGCAGGGATTGGTGTTGAGGAGCAAAATTTATATAAAAAGGACTCAACTTCACCTGTGTAAGACTCTAGAGCATGGAGAGATGACCAGTAAACAGTGTCCCTTACAGAAAGCCACCCACCATCAAGTGAAGGGCTGATGTCCCCTAACTAGACCAAGCATTGGTTACCTACAGAGAAGTAGTCTTTACAGTTAAATACATGCATTCATTTGTTTTCAGATATTAAACTGAATACTATCTGCACTTGGGTATATTTTCTCTTAGGATGACTTTTATATTAATTAATCTATTTATTTATTTATTTTGATGGTGCCAGGAATATAACCCAAGACTTCATACATGCTAGGCAAGCCCTCTACTGCTTAGTTGTACCGCTTAGCTGTATGGCTTAGCTGTACCCTTAACTCTATTGGTAACTCTTTAACATTTTATAACATTTTAAAAGTTACAAATTGTCTCACTGGAAGCTTCTGAAACACCCATCTCTAGCCACAAACTCACTGACAGACACAGCAGCCCACCCAAGTGTGAGGACCAAGGCAGTGGTCAATCAGAGATGTCTGCATGACTGGCACCTGACACCTCAGGATCACTAGGTAGGTAACAACACTTGGGTGGTTTTTTCACAACCCTTCCCCTTCTTCAGCCTCATATACTGGGCCTTCCATGCTGATGAGATGTTGAAAAGTGGTCACAAGAGACCATTCCAAATATATGAAGGGCAAAGTCAGCTTGGGATGCTCAAGAAATGTAAGCTCCTGCAAGTTTAAAGAAAGATGGTCCAAAGAGCACTCTGCTTTCTTCACCTACTATTCCTTCCTCCTCCCCTCACTTGCAGTGGAAGGATTGGATTAAGCAACATTTGTATTACTCATCAGGATCATTGACACATGATAGTGACAATAACCACGCAAAAGTGCACATACTACACGCACTAGACAGATGCTTTCCAGGCAGATGGCATCAACTCTCACATGCTCCCAACTTTGCAGGTGAGGAACAAGCCTCAGAAAGGGTAACAAGCTGGCCAAAAAACAGCCAAAGTGACAACCAAAATGTGAGTGTAGGTGTGGCTGGTTCCAGGAACTGCATGCAACTCACCACCCTCCTTCCTGGAGGTAGAGGTGAGGCCTCAGGACAGCTTCCTGTTTAATGGAGCCATATCACTCCTGTGCTCATTTTCTTTATTATTTCAATAATGGGCGCCTCCTCAGGTGGGCATACAAACCACACGAACATCTCATAAGCCTCAGCTATGCCTCAGCACCCTGGCAGGACACAGCATTTTAGTCTTCAGTATTTGAAGTCAAAGAAACAAGTTGGACTCATATATGTCTTTAAAAATCTAAATTGGCCAATAAGTTAAGACTCAGAATTGCTAGTACCCTATATGCAAATAAAAATGTTTTTTGAGCTAGCCACAGTGGCTCATGACTGTAATCCTAGCTACTCAGGAGGCAGAGATCAGGAGGATTGCAGTTCGAAGCCAGCCCAGGCAAATAGTTCGAGAGCCACTATATCTCAAAAAAATAAAATCTCATCACACTACAGGGCTAGTGGAGTTGCTCAAGGTGTAGGCCCTGAGTTCAAGACCAATAACGCAAAAAAAAAAAAAAAAAAAAAAAGAAAAAAGCTTTTTAAGAAAGCAGGGAGGATTCTACAGAGGCCTGGTCTCTCTGTGGTAGGACACTGACATGGGCAGATTCAAGCAGATCTGAGCAGGACTACCCTGAAGGAACACTGGAGCCTTTTCCTTCTCATTCTGCCTCAAGCTAGCTGTAGAATGTATTATCCTGCCTTGGGCCACCACAGAGCTCATCTACCAGCAACCACATCTCACATATTAATGGCTTCTGTGATGGAGAAGAAAACAATGAAATTCTCCTTGTTTCTGTTTCTTGGAACACATATAGGAGTGAGGACTCCATTTTACCATAACCTCTTCCAGAGGCTGCAACTGCGAATGCAGCCAGAAGATGGCAGGATAGTACCAGACGCTGAACTGTGATTTGTCCAAATTAAGTTCAGGCAGAAGGGGAATCTGGCATGAAACAAAAATTGTATTTATATAGAACTCCCTGAACAATCTAAAATGTTGAACCTTTGTACTAATTAGCTGATATGATAATTGACTTGGTTTTAATCTGTTTCAGGCCAACTTTTAAAAGAAAGCCTCTTCGTTGCCTTGCTATATCAGAATTAGAATGTCCTATGAAGTAGGGACTGTGTTCACAAAGTATGTTCCAGCCAGGTCCCACACAAAAGAGGGCCTCTGGACCACAGAACAGGTACCTAATAATTAAATCTGTTAAATCTGGAGGACAATTTTTACTTGATTAAAAAAAGTCTGGGTGTATGAATAAACATTCCTTCTTAAATAAAGCCCAAATGAACAGCATAAAGAAAGAGAAGGGGACTATACCATTTGTTTATATGGAAAAGTAACCACATTGTTAAGTTAGTCAGAAGGAATACATGAACGCGAAGGTCTCAGCTTACCAACTGTCCCTTCATAGAATGGCTCCCTGGCACATTCGTTAAGGTCTTTATCTTCTAGGAGGGACTGAGAGGCCCCTCCCGAATCTGACTCCAGCAAGATCTGATTCCCATCAAGGCCAATGTCTGCAAAATGGCTATTCAATTCACAGTCTTCGAAGTCAGCAGTGAACTGGTGGAGAGAGGCCTCATGAGAAGACATGGGAAATGTGCCTTCCAAGACCAAAGGAGAGCCAGGAGGGGACAAGGAGGAAAGGGAGGACCTTGAGGATAGGGATGTTACAGACTTGGGGGCTTCGCTCAGAGCGGGTATGTGGCCCGTTGCTGTGGCTGCCATCCCACAGAGTCCACTCTGGCCAGGCTGACTAGGGGACTTGACCACCTCATTTTCATGGATGGTGGTGATAGGTCCAGAAGGAGTATAGCCACTCTTCTCTTGCAGAAGGAAGTCCAATTTATGCTGATAATCCACATCTATCTGATCACCCTGACTGCTGTAATAGAGCTCACTGGAACTGAGGGAGCTGAGTGACCCTCTACTGGAGGTGTTCAGAGAGCCCCGACTGGATGCCAGAGAACCCAGGCTGCTCCCAGACGACATGGACAATGTGCTGGCCGAGAGGCTGAGGGAAGAAAAGCACACGGTAAAATCTCCTGCTATGTGGGAGACCCTCTCATAGCCCCTACTAACTCCTTGAGACCCCAGAAGGGGAGAAGCCAGTGACAGTAGAAATGGACTTTTTGACCACACACAGGAACTTAGTGTGTCACACATATACTCCCATTGTTCACTCAAATGTTTAACTGTGCGCTCCAAAATTTCTTCAAGTAGCAATTCTAGTTTTGTATTTATTTTTAATTTTTTTTTATAAAAGTTTTTTTTAAAAAGAGAAAGAAGGTTCAAAGTATAATGACATAGCTATGTAGAAGCAACTTTGCAATTAAAAAATAATGAAAGAACAACAACAACAAATGGGTTTGATCAATACAAAGTAACTACTTTGCTTTAAAAATCTTATTTTTAGAGGAAAAAAAAGAAGCAAAAGGGTCCTGGGTTCACAGACTTTTCCTCTGCTTTGTGTGCAAGTATAACAGAAAACCCATGTGAAGGTAAGTCGCTTCCACTCTCCTTTTATGCTACTTTCCCGAGTTTTTATTGACAGGTAAAACATATCTGTTTCCTGTAACATATTTCAAATGTATCCCAAATATAACCTTGAGGTTCATAAAAATAAAAACAAAACTATGTGACGTTAAGTGTGACCAAACACTAACTGTAATGGTGTAACTATTTTAAATAGCTGAAAATAAAGTGCAAAATAACCAAAGAGGAACCAAGAATATACATGAATAATAAAGAGAAAATTTCCCCTCATGCATTCAACAGGCTCACCTTTTAAGCTGTGAATGCAAATAAGTAGTTAATTTAGTAGTTTCTTCAAGTTTCTGTAGTAGCTCTTTTCTTCTCTCTTCCAACTTCAATCTGGAAAAAAATACAGAAAATTCAAATGATTATTATGATATGAAAACTAAAGGGAGAAAAATTCTTATTATACACACATTACATATAAAGAGGGGAAAATTCAAACAAACTTAACAGAGAGAAAACAGGACACCAGCAAGGGTTACTGACAGAGTTGCACACAGCAATGATCAATAAAGGAAGATATTTATGGCCAATCTCTGACATTACCAAGAACTTTAAAGAGTTGGCAGTGTACAGGGCTGGGTGCGGTGGCTCCTACCTATAATTCCAGTTGCTTGGGAAGTGGAGATTGGGAAGCTCAAGGTTCCAAACCAGCCAGGACAAAAGTTAACAAGACTTCATCTCAACCAATAAGCTGGGTGTGGTGGCATGGGCCTGTTACTCCAGCTACATGAGAAGTGTAAACAAGAGGCTCAAAGTCCAGACTGGCCTGGGCAAAAATTTGAGGTACTATTTAAAAAATAACGAAAGCAAAAAGAGCTGGGGGCATGGCTCAAGTGGTAGAGTGCCTGCCTAGCAAACTGAATCCCTGAGGTTGGCAGTGCAAAATTTTCTTAAGTGTGTAAATAATATGCCCCCTGAGTTAGGGAAGAGTGTGAGGAGAAAACAATGCAGACACAAAAAGCATAGAATTCTTACGTGGGTCTACAACCTGACTTCACATTACTGCAACATTTGACAGTAATAATAAAGAAGTGCAAAAGGCCATCCCAAATCCTGAACTTAGAGAGGACTGTCCTAAAATAATGCTTGGTGAAAATGTAATACTAATTTTATAAAAATTTCAATCATCAAGCAAGATTAGGGGGCTGGTCGTGCTGGCTCACACCTGTAGTCCTAGCCTTGCAGACAGCACAGATAGGAAGAATGAAGTCCAACTCTGACCCCAGGCAAGTAGCAAGGCCTTATGTGAAAAACAAGTGAAGCAAAAACGTGGCTAGGCGCACGGCTCAAGTGGTAAGAGTGTCTGCCTAGTAAGCATTAGGCCCCGAGTTCCAATCCCAGTGAACCAAAAAGAAGAAGAAAAAACAAAAGAAAAAAGGTTAGTCCACATTGCTGCTATGGACTAATTTGGGCTTGAGTATTTAAGCAAGACAAGACATCAAGTGCCTTTCTTAGCTACATCCCATCTCATCACCTATATCAAATTATCATAAAATTTTTGAGCTTATTCCCAACTAGAGCTTTATGGAATTTTATCTTGAAAAATAACTCATTTAAAAACAAATCAAACATCCCAGGTGCAGCTTAGAACCTGCTCAGTAGTCTGTATCATCCAAGGTCTTTAGACATCATTGAAATAAGCCACACCAATGTGGCAAATGAGTTACAAATGGGGTTCAGAAAGTGTACCCCAGTTCCTCATTTGGATTTGCTTCTTACAAGCTGTGTGTCCTTTGGTAAGTCCCTACATTAAGGGTCTAACCTTCCTCATCTCTACTATGGTGATGACAGTCCTCCTGTGTCTACCTGATAAGGCAGTTAAAGGGATCAAATGGAGTGATGCATGTGGAAGTGCTCTGCGGTGGATAAAAACAAATCGCACTTGCTCAAAGCCTAGCATGCCCTGCAAGATGCTGATAGAAAATTAGTCACTTCGGTTTAGAAAAAAAGAAAATTTCCCTGATTTCCATCTTCTTTGAAATTTCATGTATGTCTTACGCATTGAGGAAATATATTCATATTTTTATAGGCATCTATCCCTTTGATGTGACAAGAAGGTAATTTCATTATATGTTAAAATAAAAAAGTAATTCTTGCCACTTTCTTTAATAATTCAAGGCATGATAAATTCTTCACAAACAGCTTTCATAAGTGCATTTTAAAAGGGCAAGTCTTTATTTTCCTAATCTCTCAAGCATAAACAAAAACTCAGTAAGGTAAAAAATTAACATAAAGAAGATAAACTGAATTAGAAGGTACACAAAGTTCTGGAGAAGCTCTGAGCACTACAAAAAGCCCATGTTTCCAGAAACAAGAGAAGTACTTTTAGGTTTTAAAACTAGATATTGCTTTTCCTAAAATAAAAGCTTTGGTCATGTTTTAAGAAGGCTTTGGTATGACATTAGGATTTAACCCTGAAATGTTTTAGTGTAAATGTAATCCTTGAGTTTTAAATACAAGCTTTTTCTTTCCCAGTCACCAGGATGGCCCATGCCCTACCCTCTGCCATGCTCAGGGGCTGTCTTCCAGCAATTTCAGGCTGACTCTGAACTACTGATGCATGGCTTTTGTGCTCTTGTACATGCTCCCCAAAAGAGAAGGCATGCCTGTTCTTTCTCCCTCTTGCTGGTGTCACAGGAGAAGCATGACACAGGGGAGTCACAGAAACCATGGAATGGGATAGCAGTGTCTGCCCCTGGTATAACCACCAATCCTGGTCCAAGGACAGTCAGATGTCTTCCTGAAATTCTAGGTGACCTTCTTGGAGGACAGGCTCCTCCCTGTCCCCTGACGCTGCTGAACAGCCCTTCCAAGAGGCACATATCTGCCCCTCTGAGCTCTTCTACAGTCCCTGCCTCTAATCTCCTCGGTGAGAAAAGGTCTCTTCATTCTGGGCCCCAAAAGATCCCTCAACCTGGTCCTGCTGCTCCATACCACCCTTCTGGTTGCCCTTGGCCAGGCGTGGGGCTTTCACGCCCTCCTGCCTCTGCCTTGCTTCCTGGTCTCTCCTGAACTCAGAACTTTGCACCTAGGGAAGATTTCATGTAACCCAAAGAAGAAAGCAGTCCTTTTCCATTAAAAAAAAAAAAGGGGGTATTCATACACCTACCCACTTGCTTTAAAAAATATTTCAGAAGCACTGACAAAAACAAAACATCCAAATAATTAAGAAAAAATTAATATATCTTGGCAATTACAAGGCAAAAACCCTGTAATTTTTAAGACATTAAGATCTTATCAGCTACAGAAAAGCATGGACTTCAAGGAATGTCAATGGCTATAGCAGAAAATCAAAGATGTGCAGAAAGGCCTGCTGTCACTGGAGGGCAATTTCTCTTTTGTCTTGGCCACCCCTCCCAATGAGCACCTCTGGCTTTTCCAGACATGCTTTGCTACCACTAGGTGGCAACCTCAGTCACTGGTGTGGGGCTCAGTGACACTGTACAGTGGGGGCAGGAACAGAGCTCACACACGATAGCTGAAAAGTCATTTGAGTTTAGCTCCTAGCTGAAAAGTCATTTGAGTTTAGCTCCTTCGGACACCACAATTCAGTAATGACCCAGAAACATGCCTGAGGTCACCTCTGAAATACCAAGGAACCCACAATATAAATGGAAAACAGGAAAATTTGGTACAATGTAGCAAGTAGATTTCTTTGGTAGCTATGTAGATACCAGGAAGAAATTGAGGGATTTGGTGTTGGTGGAGCAGGATGTGTTCTATGATGAAACTGAGTTTTACACACAGAATTCTATTCCCCACAAGTATCCTGGCCACATCTGCTTTAACAAGGAGAAGATACACTGTTGCAAAGGTGTTCTCAGCTGAACAGCAGCCACAGGCAGAATAGAAATCTACACAAATAGTAGGAAGAAAACAATAAAGGGTGAGTAGTATGAGGGAAAGCAAAGTAAGACCACTGCATCAGGACTCACAGCCCTACTGTGTTCTGCTAACCTAGGAAACAAAGGCCCTGGTGCTCGCTGCGGCAGGCAGTTCTGATTCCCTGAGCAGGACTCTGCCGTGAGCAATCAATAGTGTGTTAGGCTGCTTCAGCAAGTAGGAGTCCCTCAACCTTTCGCTAACATAATTACAGCTTTGCCTTTGGCCACAGACACTAGAAAGGAAATTAGTACTCACTTATTGGGGATACCAAATGGTTTGGCTTCTGAGTGACTTAGAAAGTCAACATATTACAAATACAAAATACAGATGTTTCCCTGCAGAAGACACATGGCCGTGTAGGTACAGTAACTTGGGCTTTCCGTATTGCTTATGCCTCATATGACACAAACCCTGTGACTGGCTGTCACTGAATATATCATTAGTTTATGTAAGTATTTTATAGTTCCTATTCCTGGTGAGTCCCTACCTAGTGCTAGAATTTTATTTCTGCTGGAATTTTGATAGTTATTATGTGTGTGCAAATAAAAGTAAAAAAGTCACTTAGGAATAAACTATCCCTAACAAAAAAGACAGGCAAGACACCACACTCACAAATGTTGATTAAAACAAATAAACACATGTGTTTCTCTCTCCCAGCACAAATCTAAAGGCAGCCCATAGGACCATCCCAGATTCACCCACGACATAGCAGAACCACCAAGATGGCCTCAGCACGTGAGACCTGTGGTTACAGTTGGCTCTCCACACCCCTGAGCTCACATTCAAGAATTCAACCAACCACAGGACAAAAATATTTGGAGAAAACAAATTGTGTTTGTACTGATCATGTACAGACTCTTTCCCTTGACATCATTGCCTAAACAATACAGTGTAACAACTATTTATATAGCATTTACACTGTATTAGGTTTCTTTTGGTTTTTGTAGTACTGGAGTTTAAATTCAGGGTCTCCCACTTGCTAGACAGGTACTCTGCTACTTGCACCCCAACTGCTTTAACACAGAGAAAATACACTGCTTGCAAAGGTATTCTCCTACTTCTAATTTGCTTTAGTTGTTTTTGGATAAGGTCTGTTTTTCTATGGGGCTGGCCTTGGACAGTGATTCTACTATCCATACCTCCCATGTAGCTGGGAGTATAGATGTACACCACCACATCTGGCTTGTTTGTTGAGATGGGGGTCTTGCTAACTTTTTGTCCAGGCTGGAGTCATCCTTTCCATCTCCACCTCCCGAGCAGTGTGTGACACCATGCTCACCCCTTATGTTAGGCATTATAAGGAATCTAGAGACTAAAAGCAAACACTACACAATTTATATAAGAGACTGAGTACCCATGGATTTTGGTATGGGGGAGATGGGTCCTGGAACCATTCGCCCATGGACATCAAGGAATGACTGCATATAACATTCATTAAGTGCTACATAATACATCAAAAATCACTGGTGCTTTATACATGAATCACACACAAATTACTCAAGTCATTAAATTTAGTGAGGACTATTCATGTTTATTCTGGAAATTTAAGTTATACTATTATGGACAAAGGTAACTGAGGAAAAACAATTTCATTCAGTCTTGACTTCTCACCCTTTTTATTCCTATTGGCGTTGTCAGATAGGTCCTTTCTTGGCCAGTCTTGCTCACAGCTACCTGAGGCAGGCCTTACCGTCAGCACAGCTAGACGGAGAAGTTAGAGCAAGAAGGAAAGAGAAAATGGGCCAGTGGTGGGAATTTATAAAGATGGTAGAAGAAAGCGACCTGTATAGGCTTTTCTTCTTGATTCTGCTCCTGCTTCCTAAGCACTGAGGCTGTGGCCACATATCATCTTGATCAACATTTTAACTCACAAAAGTCAACTCTCCCAAAATGATTAAACTCAAAGCAGGCAACTTCACAGGCTAAAAGCTAATCGAGAATATCAGAGATTTTTCCGCTCTCCCCACACTTTTTAAATGTTTTGATACTGTGTAGACATACAACCTTAGAATCTATTGAGGGCTAGGGATTTGAGGCCAAAAAGCCCAAAATAAGACTAAAAATAAGAATAAAAGAGGAGGAGGAGGAGAAGAAGTTGAATTATGGCTGCATGTTTTAAATTTACTTTCAGGACACCTGAAATGGCACCTACTTGAATTCTGCTCTTGTTGTCATGAGGCAGCCTGCTTCTCACTTGCTGGCCTGATGGACGGCCAGAGCAGTGATTCTGAAGGCCTCACAATCTGTCCTGAAACAAGTGTTCACACAGCAGCCAGCAAGGCCTGGACACAGTGCTCTGATGCAGGTGAGTTCAGGTTAAACTGACACACACAGGCTCCTCTACCTAACATTCCAGCTAATCTATTTACACAGCTGGATTTTTTAGATTAAATAATCAACTCACACTTTTCCACAGCAAGGTCATAAAATTGCTAAGAATGTTTTTGTTTACATTTTCATCTGCTTCAGAGGAGAGTTTCAACTGACAGACAAAATCCAAGGAACATTTTGTGACCTGTTAAGATAACAAAGGGAGCAGGCTGTCTTTTCTTTTCCTTATGAAATTAAAAGCAATAAACTTTTGCATTCTTGTAAGCAATAAAACCCAGAATAGGAAGTTTCAGTCACTGTAACAGTCTAATCTTTCTTATCAGAATGCAACAGTTTATAGCTATTGTTATCAGACTCGGTCAATGATGTTCTGCATTCCTGGTTTTATGTCAACATTCCTTAGTCATTCAACATCTGTCACAGGTGTTTTCACATTACCAAAAGACACAGAGGAACTGATACTGTGGGCATTACAGTATGCTTTTTATTTCTACAGAAAGAAAATGCTTTGTGCTGTTTCCCATCTACTAAGTACAGGTGCAATTGGGATTTCCAAGGCCAGGGAAGATGTCACCAGCTAAGACACCAGCACAGGTTTAAGTTGCCCAGCTTCCAGAAGGAAACAAACCTCTCAGCCAGAGCCCGGCTGGGTGCACCCCGCACAGAGAGCAGCTCTTCCTCCAGCCGCTGCCTTTCGGCTTCCAGACGTTCCAATTCATCCTGGGTGCGCTTCTGAGGAGTGATGAACTGCAGCTCTTTCAAAAGTTCTTCCTTTTCATTAATTAGCATCAGCTTCTCCTTCTCAATGTCTAGCGCCCCAGGCCAGGCCTCACTGTCCAGCTTTGACAGTTCAATTTTTAAGTTGGCCATACTAAAAGAGATAGAAGAGGCATGCACAGAGTTGGGACTCCTGAGAAAGGTAAACACAAGCCAGGCTAAGTGTGGGATAGGACTGCTAAGTCCAGATCTTCCTGACTGCAGCTTACCAGTGTGAGCAGGAGCCTGGCACTCCAGCCACAGGCCTGGCCCACACTCAGCTGTCATCTGCTTCATTCCCCCACAGCTCCCTATCTGATAAAGGCCTGAAGGTCAAGTACATCAAAGCTGCAAAAGGAGAGTACTCTGGGGGCCATGGGCAGCCAGCCCTGGCATGTGTGGGGTAATGGGAGAGGTACCTGAAAAGCTTCCATTTGAAAAAAGAAGATGCCTTAAAAGCCATTGTCATAGACTTTGTTCCTTTGGTAAAGATGTTGTCCCCCAGGAAAATGGTAATTCCCAGAGACAAGGTCTTAGCACATCAGGAAAGGAAGAGGGGGAGAAGAGCAGTGGCTTGGTCAGCTCACATTAAAGCAAAGTCACTCAGTCAAGGCTCCACATCACCAAGGAGAAGCGGGCAGGGTCTGGCCTCCTCTTGCCCACGTTCTTCTTAAGCCTCTCATTTGGGAAGTCTCCAGTCCAACAAGGCCCTGATTGGTATGACCATTCATTGAGCACTCATTGTGCATCTTACACGTTAATGTGTCTGAGCTACAGCCCTCTGTTCTCAGCTATTTAGCTATACAGGAGCAGGCACAGTGGCCCTTTGCTAGCACAGGCAACTACAACGACACCACTGGCTGACAAAGGGTGTTGAAGTAAGGGAAAAAAGATGCAGTGGGGGGAGGGAAATAAACCAAAGGCAAATTCACTGACTTCAAATTTTTTTCTGACCTCGAATTTCACTATGTCTAGAGCTCTGTAACAAATGGTTAAGTTAACATAAGTCTCAATTCAATATGAATGTCTTGAGCTACATGAATCAACTTGCTCTGTGGCACCGTGAAAACAATTAGGTCTTTTCACAAGATGAACAGCACATAGTCTTTTGACTAAAACACAAAATCCAGGTAGACTATGAACACAACTGATGTTGACAAAAGGAATCCATGTCCCCTTAAAAATAATGGATGATTACTTTGGATACTGCTACAGCACACACTGAATATTGTAAATAGAAAAGGGGAAATGGATTTATTTTTTTGATGGAAGAAATTGTAAAAGTCAAGAAAAAAGTTAAACAAAAAAACAATCAATAACAAAGATGGAAGTAGATCCACATTCTTGTGCCGTAAGTTTCTTGTTTTAGTTAAAAATAAAATTGCTATCTTAGATCAGCATTGCATATATACTGTATGCCCGATTTTCACCCACTGTTTGCACTTATGGTAGATGTTACATCAGCTACTCTTCAGATTTAACAACAAAGCCATAAACAACTGTCTCTATGCACTGAAAAATTAATCATCAAAATGCTAAATAAGCAAGTTATTATTAGCTTCATTAAGCACATAAAACAAAGGTTGGAGGAGAAAAGGTTTCAAAGAAACACAATCTGCCTCTTTACTTACTCTGAATTGAGGAGGAAAATGCATTTCCAACATATGCATAAACCCTTGAGAGTTACCTCCTTGTCAGCATCACTGGTAACTTTATGACAAAACCCCAAACAGAACAGCAATGCAACCAAAGAGAAAGAACCAATGTCTTAAGTTTTGCTGTGACAGAATTACTCAACTGAGCTGGGAGCAGCATAACACAGGTCAGAAAGGCACCTGTTAATTACTTGTGTGGTTAGGAACCGGGGAATATTATATTTAATTTTAGAATGGGTACTACAAGTCTTGGGAAAGGAATATGGAGAGGACTTCAGGAACACCTAGGAAAAGAAGTGCTACATAAGTCCAAATGGGATTACCTGTGAGCAGTTACAAGAAAGCAAAAGCTTGAGCTGATCCAAAGGAAGCAGGGCCAATAAGAACCCAGGGACATAGGATTGCTTCAAGACTGATTCTGAGTTATCATCATTCACCTTTAGAAAACTAGACAGAGCCAAGGAGTTCTGGCTGCTACAGGGCAGGCATGCTCACAGCAAGAGGATCACAGGCAGCATGTCTGCATAGCTCAGCTATCTTTGGGGCAAACCCAGATCATCCCTTAGTACATACTGAAGGCAAGGCCCTAGTCTGCATCCTGGGAAGGAAAATATAAAAAACTTTCCTACCTTCAAGACATTTAAAATCTACTGGGGAAAATTTAAAGACATTAAAATGGCCAAGTAAACCCTTGTTCAGAGTGACTTAGTGACTTGCTCAAGGGCACATGGTTAATTATTTGTGGACTGAAGCTTATATTTCTTTTCGGTAAACTGAAGAAGTAAGTATTGAGACAAATGTTGTATGTATCTTACTTTGTTAAAGCCAAATAACCTATCTGATGTATGGCAAAGTACTTCATAGGTTTCATCATCCACAGTAACTGTGGATATACTTTCATATCTAATGGTCCTCTTTATGGTGAAAACCATGGCAGTACAGCAGGTTCTCAGCTGAGCTTTTCACGCTCATGGGGAGGAACATGATATGTTCCTTATCTCCTACAGGGTTACAATGCAGTTTTTCCCAGTGTCTCCTCAACAACAGACCAGTAGCATTTCTAAGTTGTTAGAAGGGAGATGATGAAATCAACTGTATCAGTATGACCTTCTCCCTCAAAACAGGTAAGGTATGCTAGCTTATGAAAACAATTTGAATATCTATCTGTTAGATAAGAATGTTAAGGTCTCTTTTGCCTCACCTCATCAGGGTCATGAAAGTTAAAAAAAAAAAAAACAAGCACAGGGTTAATAAGAGTTTATAAGGTAAAGAAGAGAAATAAGAATATCACTCTTCTTTCTTCCTGAAATAAGTCAACTGAAACAGACACCACAGCACCTTCAAGGACATAACCAGTAAGACTTCCCTGTAAGGGAAAAGAATACGACCAAATGTATTTACCTTAGGACTCCTCAACAGTTATCAAGTCCTGTGCCTGGGCCGTTCCCATCTGAGGAATCAATTTTCCCACTTTTAATTGGAACTAATATGTACAAGCTTGAAGCTTTTATTTTTCCCCAGAAGAGAAAGGGGCAATTTTATTCCCATAATTCTCATTAATCCTCCTTATTCTTCCAATTTGAGGGGAGGGAGAAGGGAAGAGATAGAGAGGAGAAAGGGGAGGCAATCCTTATACGCTAAAAAAACCAAGGGTAACCTTAGTGAAAACATGTGGGGGAATGTCCAGCAGATGTCACCACAGGAGTAAGTTAATTCTGGAAAAGAAAATAAATGTTTGAGCCTACCAACTATGAACAAAACAGCTTCTTCTCCTTACCTTCTTTTGGCTTCTTCATACTGTAGGCTTAGCCTGACCTTTTCAGCTAAATTTGATCTACTTCTTACTCCAATCTAGCAAAAACAAAAGGAAAAAAGTCAATTAACTTTGCTAATGAAGGAAGTAAACTGCTTTTGTTTCTAGAACTGCAAGTAATTAAAAAGCTCAAGAAAATGGTCCTGAAATGGGAAAGCACCAGTTTAAAAGGCACTTACTTTAGAGTCTCAGTAGGGACAAAACATTTCTTTCAATTCCAGCTTGTCTGCTTTTCAGACTTTAACACCACTTTCTCCACAAATTAAATTCAAGACAAAAATGTCAGGTAAATGTGTCTGGTATCTAAGAGCTTATGAAGGGTGTACAGGTCCATAAAATTTATGAACTGGAACTCATTTCTTTGCTTTTATAGGCAAAATTTCCATCATTTAGTTTTCAACTATACAAAATATAAACTAAATAACCTCAAAAATTAATTTTTAAATAGGTAAGGCCTACTGTCAATATCACCTGTTTTACTTTCATAGCATTTACTTCAGAGAAATATAAGCGAATATAAAAAATTGGGAACTTATTAAAAAGTAAGTATTTGCTAATTGCATTCCAAAAGGGAGAAGGCAAAATAGTTAATGATATACAAACCACATTAAATATTTCCAAATGTCAGCTATAAATCACAAACACTTTAATATAATCAACTTCAAATTTACAAAAACAAGTCTTCTTGTTAGTTTCGAAAGTCATATATTTCTGTTTCTCACTAGCTTTAATGTTCATTCAAAATGACCTAAATTGCCAAGGCTCTAAACTTAATGGAAAAAGTTAAAATTTCATGTATTTCAAAAGTGTCTCTAAAGAAATGCACTCTGAGAAAGATTGAGCAAAGTCAGTCATGTGGACAAATTCTGACATGCTTGGCACCTTAACAGGAAAGATAAGGCTATGATTTTTAAAACCAATCTTAAAGAATGAAATTCTGAATGCACACAGTCTAGCTCCTACTCCAGTTCACCATACATATTGTTATGAAGTCCCACCAAGGGCAACAGTGGGCTAACCAACCACACAGGTAACTTACATCTCCAGAAATGCTTGTTTGGGACCCAGCATCAAGGGTCTGTCTGGAGAGAGATAAATGAGAATGCACAGGACTGGATCTCAAATCGGGCTCAGATCTGCCAATGTTCTGATCCAAATGAAACCGTTCCTGAAGCTTAGCAAGACTCTGTCCAGGAAACACAAAGTATTTCATAAAGCTTGTCATGTAAGAGGGCAACCCTTCCCCACCAGGTAAAATTAAATGGAAAATGTTCATCTTAATGGGAAAAAAAATTTACTTATTTTAGGTATTTTTCCACTTTATATTAGTTAAAAATAAGAGCAGAATGTAATTTTTCTCATACATACGTGTCTTTGGAAGGCTACCTTTCCCAAGATAGCATTTTCCTGTGAATAACAGTATGTTTATATCTAATACATGCATTTCTTATTTTTAAAACATTATTAAGAAGAAGTCTCTATTTCATTCAATAGAAACCTGTTATGGTTTTTCAATGTGGCTTGCTTGTATTCCCAAAAAGTTCAGGTACTTCTGGAATACTGGTCCTCAGCCTGACAATGTTCAGAGGTAGTGGAAGCTTTAAGAGGAAGGGCCAGTGCAAGGTTTTTAGGTCATTGGAGGTCTCACCCTTGGAAGAGATTAAAGTAGTTCTCAAGGGCCCTGGTTAGTTTCTGAGAGAGGGATTGTATAAAAAAATACAAGATTGGTCCCTGAATCTTTCTTGCTTCCTGTCTTGCCATGTAACATTTTCTAAGCAATCCTGCATTATGATGACATTGTCTACAAAGAAGACTTCATCTGAAGCCAAACTGTGGAGTCGTACAATCATGGACATTTAGCTTCCAAAACCGTGAACTAAAATAAGCCTCTTATCAGTACCCAGCCTTCACGTATTTTGTTATAGCCAGAAATCAGGCTAATTACTTTATGTAATAGAAATTATGTAAACACGGAATATTTATAATGTATCCTATCATTCTAGGTATAGTAAGACAATTTTCTACTTAGAAGATTTTTAGGATTATTCCATTTTACAGCTGGACAAAACCTATGAGATTACTCAGATTATATTAACGTTAGAGATTAGGAAACTGAAGCCCAGAAGTTGTTAAGGAATAGACTAGTTGAGCCCAGCTATGTACTCTCTGTATGGTACTCTCTATTGTAGTAATGGCTGATTTGCTAAAGTGAACAATCAGAAGTGAATGTGCCTGCTATTGGTACCCAGGTCTATTATATTAGGTTTATGTTAGAGGGAGGATATGCACAAGTAAAAGTATTAAAATGGAAAATCAAAAAGCAAGCCCTAAGTAACACTAATAATAATGTTAAGAAACCATTATTACCAACCTCAAGAGCCAGTATTTAATCATGATATTTCAATTTTCATAATGGAATAGAAGTATCAGAGATCCAGTATTTAGTTTTCTCCTAACTTTCTCTATTTTCTTTCAAAGGGATATTTGTACAAAATGTTTATGTAAGAGGGATAAAACTTACATGGACATATCAAATAATATAGAAAAGAACAAAGAAACCTTTCAGTGATCGTGGGCAAATCTTTTCTATTTTTGCATCTGTAAAGTGAAAAGATCAGTGTTTTTCAATCTTATCTGTTATCATTCAATCAATTTAGTATGTTGTGACTCATATGTTTCTAATGCAATGGAAGATACTAGAAAGTAAAGTCAGAATACATTACCAGTATCAAGAACAAACATTTTTCTATGAAATTTGTTTTGAGTGAGTGTGTATACAACTGTGTTACTGGGTTTTGATGTAAAATATATTTCTTACTGTGATCAAAGACATTTGAAAGTCAGAAGATATCTAATGTCCCTTCCAGCTCTACTGTCAATCTCAGTATCTAATAATTATTTTATGTACTTCAGTAATTGAAAGGAATTGTTTTATTTTTATTTTTTAAAGTTTAATTAATTTATTAATTAATTTATTTTGCGGTGCTGGGGCTTGAACTCAGGGCCTTCACCTTGAGCCACTCCGCCAGCGCTATTCGCCAGGGCTGGCTTTGAACTGCAATCCTCCTGATCTCTGCCTCCTGAGTACAGGATGACAGGCGTGAGCCACAGTGAAAGGAATTTCTTTAAAAGGAATTTAATTTAATCTGGCCTGTGTATGAGACCAAAGTTTATAGGAAGAATCAAAAATGACCTAAAATTGTTGAATTATAAAGTTCCAATGTAAATTTGTTCAAGTTCTACTAATTTCTTTTTAAATGGAACTATTGTGTGCATTTCAGGAATTACTAATCTAATTAGTAGGATAATTGTGGAACAAAACCAAAATATGTCTAAGACAAGTCTTGTATGTGTTATATATGTGTTAAAACCACATGTTCTGGAGCAAGAGTACATGGGTTTGAACCCCAGTTTTGCTACTTACCAGCAATATGACTTTAAGTAACTTAATTTTTCTGTGCTATAATGTCATTGTCTGTAAACTGAGGAAAATAATATCTTTAAGAGGCCAGGCATGGTGGCTCATTCCTGTAATCCTAGCTACTCAGAAGACAGAGATAGGGAGCATCATGGTTTGAGGCCAGCCTAGGCAAAGAGTTCATGAGACTACATCTCAACTAGGTGTGGTGGTACACATCAGTCATCCTGAATATAACATTTAAATACAGAGATTCTATTAAGAATGGAAGTATCACTGTTGCCTGTAACATTTTCCCAGACACAGCCTAAATTCTCACTCAGCTAGGTGAAGAACTCCGGAATTCTTAATTTTGTGATTATTATGGGATGGAGGGAAGGGAAAAGGAGAAAGAGAGACATCCTTAAAATAAAAACTTAACAAGCACAGATATACAGAATACTGTTCACTGAATAGCTGGATTTTTTGTTTTGTTTTCCCTACATGAGGCTTGGATCATCGAGAGCTGAGACCCACAGGTTGAGAATCATACAACAATGACAATGGGACCTACTGCCAGTAGCAGCTTTCTACTATATGGGTAAGTACATGAGTAACCCTACCTGGGTCAGCATTTCCCATTCCAGCCTTAGCTGGCACCTCAGAATCCCAAGTTGGAAAGAAGATTCTAATATAGCCCCATCCCAAAAGGCATGTCCTCTACCTACTGATGGGGGATGACATACCCTTCATGTATCCTGGGCTAAGGATCACAGGTTAGAGAACCCAGCATGTCTGGGTTCCACATGAAGTTTCCAGTCTCCTCATATGAACTCTAGGTTCCACCACCCACTGTTTCAAAGGACATCCAAGGCCTTCCTATTTTTTTATTTTTTGGTAGCACTGGGGTTTGAACTCAGGTCCTCACACTTGCTAGGCAGGTGCTCTACCACACGAGCCACTCTGCCAGTCCCAGGCCTTCCTTCATTAAGCATATCAGAAGTTGGGAACCAACCTATTCAGAGCCTGCAATAGTCTCCTACAGGGCCCAGTCATGAATGGAGCAGCTGTGATGAAGGGTTATCTAGATCTGATGAAGACTTCCACCTCACAGAGTTTCTGGGGCCTCAGAAGGTAGCAGGTTGGCTTAAGATGTTCCATAACATACCTGCATGAGATCTTGTTTTTCTTTTTCTCCTGAGCTAATTGCCTTTCTGATAGATTTCAGTTCAGTTAGAATGGCTTTTGCTTCACTAAGTTCATACCCACTCTGGCCTCCAGACATTTTCTTATCAATTCTGTTAAAAGAAAAAGAAAAAATATCAAAGAGTGATAGAGTATAAGCTAAATGAACAATAGGAATCAGTTTTGGATTGTCTTTGTCAGCTGATATCTTATACCATGGCTCTTACACAACAGTGCCTTCTTTTCAGGCTGTTTCTCCTCCTTTCTCTTTTATGTCCAGTTAGGATTTCTCCCACACCCTACTTCCTATCTCATCCCTTTCCAATCTCTTTCAGACTCAAACAAATACTTGTCTTTTTGTCTTTGGGAGGATGATCCTACTGTGGGCTGAGGTCCACCTTCATCGCATGCTGATCCTGATCTCCACCCTGAGAAAGGTGAGGGACAGGAACAAGTACTATAGCAGAACAGAAATGTCAACAAGCAGCAGCCTAATTTTACACACCATAACAATGTACAAACCCATCTTAGTGCTGGCAGCTTGACAGACCTTTAATAAATGGTTATAGTTTATACTAGTGAGTGCTTTACAATTTGGATTATATAGTTTTTTATTTCTTTTTAAATATATATTTAAAGTGAGACAAACTTTACTTACTTGAGAATAAATAATTTAAAATTTCATCCTATTTTTATTAAAGTTATGAACTGAGATAAAAATTGCCTTGCTGAATGAGTTCAAATTTAGAAATAAGACAGAAGGGTAGATGTATTCATCTGTCAACTCAAACTGAATAATAGTTCTTCAGTGAGCTAATTTATTTATTATCCCTGCAGATTGCTTATCAAATGTCCTTACGGTATGTATCATTACCCTGGGCTAGAGGATTTCCTGTAACCTAATTCTTTCTGTATGAAGTGTTCAACCAAATGATCCAGTTCAACCAAATGAACATTTTCTTCCTGATCACCCTCCTGGTTCTCCCTGGCCACAATGTTGTCCATAAATGTGATGGATACAACTTGGATTTTACTTGTGGGACTATGCCTCTGCCCCACCAGTCATCAGCTTCATACACACTCTCAGACATGCTCTTGGTCTTATCTATAGACCCTTTAGAGAAGTGGCACCTATTAAATCTGAGAAAATGTACTTTGAGCTCATTTGCTTTAAACCATTCAATAATATGTATTTTTTCAATATGAAAGGTGTAATCTGAAAAAAAGAACAATGCCATCTTAAGCAATTTGTCAAATAAATTAATTCAAATAAGTACAGTTTATAAATAATACATTTCGCCAAGTTCTGTTTTATTAAGTATTTTATGCTCCTAGCAATTATCTTTAAAAACCTAATAAAACAATACAAACTTGATCATAAGGTCATTTGATAATGAAAACAACCAATGAAGTCACAGACTTAAACACACACACACACACACACACACACACACACACACACAGTGTTTAGGGTGAAAAGTGACCCTAGAGATCCTCTCGTCACATTTCCAAATGAAGAAATGGGGGCCAAACAGTTAATGCAAATTTAGCCCTTCCTTAAACTACATAAACACATAGCAAGTAGCACCACTATCCTAAAAAGACAGGCTCTGGCTTGGGACTACTATATCTAGAATATCTGATGTAAAGAACTTTGAGTACTGGAGAATTCCATTTTCTAGGGGAGGGATTTATCAATGAAATGCTTGGCTCTTCTAGGTATTATATTCACCTACTTAGTACAGACAAAGGCTTAGTAAGTAAAATAAATGCTGCTTACAAATACTGTGTTTTGGCATTTTCAAATATAGTGCTTTTAAAACTAAAACAAACAAAAAACCAGAAACAACCTGTGAGATTTCATGAAAAAGCTAGTAACAAAGGTTTGAAAACTGTCAAAGTAAATTTCCAAAGCCCAAGTAATTTCTTACTACTTGTATAAAATCCTCACAATGCAATTCAGAAATAAAGTTATTATCTGAAAATAAAAGCAGGTAAAATGTTTTTAGAAATAAACTTTACCATTTAAAAACAAAAGCAGAACTAGTTCAGACTGCTAATTTAAATTTCAGAGCTTTAAAGCTATATGATAGTTTCTTGGTTATCTGATGCTCCACAGACTGGTAGATGTGAAGAACAAGTTACTGCCCTTAGCAGTTCTCCTGAAGTCCTTTTGTCTTCTTTCAAATGTTGCTATTCCCGTCTATTTCTAGACTTCTCCTTTTTCTCCCCCATTTTTCCTTTCCCATCTTTCCCCTCTGTTTTGACCTAGGTGACTCTAAAGTAAAAGAACATACAGGCATTTCTTGCTGGCTTTTTTTTTTTTAATGTGTGTGTGTGTGTGTGTGTGTGTGAATGGAGACAGAACGAACCTATATGCTAGGCAAGTGCTCTGCCACTGAGTTATACCCTCAGCCACGCTTTGCTGGCTTTTAAAATGAAGAATTGTACTTTTTTTATTCTTTATTTGAGTACTTTTATCTTCTTAAAATTTAAAAAAAATTTTTTGGCATGTGTGTACTCTAAAACTAATTTTCACTGAGCCTCTTCTGAAAGAGAAGAGATTTTGCATTTGCATGCCTTCTCTGGAAAGCAACGACTGCCAGAGCCAAATTTTCATAGACTGTCCATACTTTCAGCTTGCTGACTTTTTCATCACTTTCCATTTTCCAATTTTGAGTGCTCACTGGAGGCAGAGATGGAAATATGCATCTTCTTGGTGTACTCATCTACACATAAGCTACATTACTGTTTAGGCCAAAGTAAAATTTAAGGCCACAAATGCAGAATATAAAATGGTATTTGTTCACCCAGCATAAGACTACTGTACCACGTAAAATGAAAGCTCAAGGTTAAATTACATAATTCCAAATTCAACAAAAAATATTCCATTGTATTGTGAGTAAGTGAAAAAAATCCTACAATGATATTCTATTTAAATCTCTTTCTAAAATGTATTTTCTGTTACAGTCACAAATAAAAGTCCCCTTGTAGTATCAGGAATGTGGTTTCTGGATTCAATCAATTATCATTCAGTATTTCAGTAGTATAGTGGTTAACAGCTAAATGAGAACAGTGTTATTCTGTGTGTAGTTAAGACCAACAGGGCAGGCCTCTGCTGTTAGATATCCTATCTTTCTGCTCATGGTTCAAGGGATTAGAATCATTACAAGGGAATGCCTGAATTTCTGCAACAAATGGCTATTGTTTTCTTGTGGAATGTTATTGACAGATTCTTAAGCATGCCTTAGATTGCTATAAAAATTGCTTACAAGCAAACTGCTCTGAAACAATACAGCATTGTCACATCAATATAACAAAAACAGCAAGTTTGGCTAACCTTTAATCCTGGTGGTGACTTAAGTTATAATTCCATGTGCCTTAAAAAATGTTTAACATATAGATAAAATTTTGTAGTACTCTTAAAAGTTTGTTTTCTCTCCTTAACCCAACCAGGAAGCCCTGATTTCTGTTGATATACAATTACTAAATAACACATTTAGGTCATTCTAGGTCTAGAGATCTATACGGGAGCTCTGGAGCCACAGCTGCAGAACACAGCTATACTTGAGACCCACGTGGGATCCCATAAAATATGCCTGGTATGGAGACCGGAAACAGGTATTTCTTAAGAGCTCCTCAGATATTTCTAATAGTCAGGTTTGAGAAACACTAGGATGGAAGCATCTGAAAGGATACCAGCACCCTGGTTATATAGGCAAGTAGGCAAAAAGAAGACTAGGTCATAAAAGCAAACCTCTCAAACTATAGTCATGTGCCTCACTGCTGGGCAAGAGTATTGAGTAGGCATTCCAAAATACAAGCCGCCATTCACACGCACAGAACAATCAGGGTGTGTGTGGGCAGTGACACACACGATCTTTAATAGAGAAATGTCTTGCTGCCTTGGATTGACCCAAGTTTCCTAAGAGCAGAAAGCAGAATAAGATTTCACAGGCAGAAGGAACACAGCTGGGTGCTTTCCAGAGGCAGCTCCTGAGAGCAGCCTAGTGTTCCTGAGGCGATGTCAGGAAGAAGCTGAAACCTGCTTGATCATGACACCAACCAGGGCTGTCACAAGAAATACTGCACCACAACTGGTGGCTCCTAGCCCTACGCTGTGCATAAAAGCAGCTGGATGTCTTTAGGGGATAACATCTTTGATCATCTCTGTGGTGGTCATGTAGTTATGAAAACCACAGGCTTCTTCCTTTCTCTGAGAGACCTCTCAGCTAAGATTGTGGGAGACAGGAAGTCAGGAATGCCTGTCACAGTTTGGCTAGAGCAGGGCTCATTTGGTGAAGAAAACAGGGACTTCCACAGGCTGGGAACAGGGAAGGGGCTCCAGAACCTATTACCCTTTCTCAATTACATTTTCCTTTAACCTGGCCCAGTCTAAAGCTATCCCAGTGGCCTCTCAGACTTCAGAATTGAAACAGAAAGGCAGAAGGAATGAGGGAAATGAGCACAAGCTCCTGTGCAGAGCTCTAACTTGCTTCTACTCCCTTGAGAACAGTCAGGCTGAACTTGATGTCATCTTTAGGACCAACAGAGAAGGAGACAGATGCCACCAGGAGGGCGTAGGGCAGCTGCAGGCTCAGTGGGGGTGAAGGTCAGTACACCTGGCATAGTCTCCGAGGACAGAACATGAGGAGATGCTTCCTGGGCTCAACCTATAACCACAGTCTCAGAGGAGGTTGGCAGGGGTCTAGGAGACAAAGTGAAGTTTTTACTTAGGTTTTTTTCTATCTCCAATGATTAATAAAAACTTCAGACTTTTTCAAAGTGCATAGATTTTTCCCAAGTTTTTTTTGTTTTTAGTTGATTGCTTTTCTGTGTTTTTGGTATAAAGCTTTGAGCTTTTTACTTTATGTTTCTTTGAGAAATATCTTGTTTAATCAGTCCTTCTCTTTTCTTTGTATTAGTTAGACAGCTTTGAATTACCATAAAGTCAATTTCAGTATTTTTTTATACTCACTGTTGCAATGTTTCAAAGCCTTGTTCTTTATAGAGCAATTCTTGCTTCATCTGTGAGAGTTCTCTCTTCAGCTTTTTAACCTTTTGTGAGAAATCAGTGTAAATATTAATGCTTATAAATAATTAGCAATATAGTGCACTATATTAAGATAATAAATGTAAACTATTAAACACACAAAGCCAATATTTTAAATAACATTCACTTTACCAATTTGCCCTTTGCATAAATTCTTTGGAGGGTCTGTTAATGTGATGTATGTGATTACTGCGATTACTGTCGTTATCTTATTTAGTGACATTCTAACAAGCTGGATATCATCATGGTCTTTATTTTGTGGCCAACAGCCAATAAGGAGAGTCAGAATGTCATGCCATGGGATCTCTGTTAAAAGTTTCAACTTTCCCTTTAGTCACTGTGCTCCAGGACCACTGGCACCTCTCAAATTTTCACATGCCCAGCTAACACCTGTCTCAGCTTCTGCTCCTACTGTCCCCTCTGCTTGTGATTCTGCCCCAAGCCTCCAATGGTTGATGCCTTCCTTGTCACTTGCTAGACAAGCGCATCACTGCTTGAGCCACACCCCAGTCATACCTGTGACTTGTAAACAAATTTTGTTTTACGGTATTTTAGTATGCTTTTGATTTTTCATTTTCTATTTATTGTACTTGTTCCTCAAATACATATTGACACTGCACTTTGTGTCAGGTCCAGATCCCAAAGTGTGAACGGAATAGACATGATCCCTGCCCACAGGGGTCTAATAGAACCATGGAAGAGCCAGATTTTGAGCAAATAATCACCCAGTGAAATAAATCTTACCAATTACCACAGATACTATGAAGGAAAAGTTCAAAACATGTTTGGATGCACAAGAGGTTGGTACCTGACTTCATCTAAGGACTGGATAGAGCCTGTCTAAGAAATGATGCTTAAGTTGAAAGGGAAGGTTAGTGGACATACATCACTTGGAAAGAAAGGGATCCTCAAAGGGTACAGCATGTGCAAAAATCCAGAAGAAAGAGAGGACTCAGCAAATCTCTGAAATTTAAGGACTGCAACTGTTGCAGGTTTACCAAGGGGAGGGGTGGCATGAGATAGATTACAAAAGAAGCCATTTTGAAGATTTCTGAATCTTATCTTAAGAACAGTGAGAATCAAGGAGGAACTTTAAAGCAGGATCTGCATTATGATTTTAAATGATCACTGGAATGACACTGGTGACTAAACTAGTGGGGCCAAAGAGAGCCCTGCTGCCTGAACTGTGGGTTGGCTAGTGGGCAAGTGCTATAGAGAACAGAACTCAGAGGAGGCGGAAATGGACAAGACTTAATGACAGACTTCACGTGGTGGGTGAAGGAGAAGAGATGTCAAATACCACTCAGGAGTCTGGGTCAGTAGCTGGGTGTATGAGGAGCTTTCTCAGAAAGTGGGACCAAATCTGGGGAGACCTCAACAGCAAGTGGAATATGCAGACTTGACGTTCAGAAGCAGTGTCTGGCCCAGAGATAAAAAAACTGAGACTCCATGACATAGAGACGATATTTTCGAAGCAGTAAGACAAATGAGATCACTGAGAGAATGTGTGCATTGAAAGAAGAGTTCAGAAATAAATCTCAAATACCTTCATTATTCAGAAATCTATTAGAAGAAGAGACAAAATAAACTGAAGTAGTGACAAGAGAAGTAGGAGAAAAAGATAGCCCCATGAATAGATGAGAAAAAAGTCAAGAGAGAACCTAAGCACTGTGAGGAATAAAATGACATCTTATAGCTTAGGAATGAAGGCTGACCTCAAGGAGGAGATATCTGAGCTGGATTCTGAAGGTACTGTAATACTGATGAAGAGCAATGAGCTCACTCATAGTATATCACAAAGACATTTCAGTTACAACATTAGATTATTATGTCAAAAGAGCCATCAGTATTCAACAACTCATTCTATATGTACTAGTACCAGCATGATCTACAATAGCTAAGATGTGAAAATAAACCTAAATATCTATCTACAGCTGAATAAAGAAATGTGGTATATAACCACAATGAAATATTCAGCCTTTTAAAAAATGTAATTCTGCAATATTTGACAACATGGATGAGCCTTAAAGATATCATATTAAATAAAATAAGCCAGTCACAGAAGGACAAATACTGCATAATCCTACTTAAATGAAGGACCTAAGCTAGTCAAATTCACAGAAGTAGACAACAGAAGGGTGTTTGCCAGGGTCTGGGGGTCAGGGGAATGTGGAATTGAATTCAATGGATAATAAAGTTTCAATTATGCAAGATGAATAGGTTCTAGAGATGCAATGCGTATCACTGTACCTATAGTTAACAATACTGTATTGTACACTTAAAATCTGTTAGGAAGGCAGATCTCATATTGGGAATTCTTACCATAATACAAAATTGAAATTAAAAAAATTTAAAATTAACTTTTGTCAAATTTAACTCTCATCAGTTTAGGTATATAGGATTTTACTGTATACTTGGTGACAATGACTTAGAAACCTAACCTACACTGTGTTTCACATTCCTTAGTTTACCTAAGTTAGCTGTAAGCTACTATTTTTGTTTTGGGGAGTCTTCTTAGTGATTACCTGAAAGATTCTTAACCTCCAAATATCAATGCTGCATTTTATTTTTGTAAATTACAAAAAAAAAAAAAAAAAAAAAATCAATCCACCCCCATTATACTGACAAAAACAGATATTATTTCCAACTAGACATTATTCCTAATTGTTTTTTGTCTCAAGAGCATGGTCTTAAAAGAGCAGTTCAACAACCTTCTCCTCTGGAACCACGTGACATTACTAGCTATCAGAGGATCACTGTTTTGACTTTTCTATTCTCAAACCCACTCTCAAGTATAGGACACCTACTTTAAAAACAAATGTTCTTAGATCATAGCTACAGAACTAAGCTAATGCTGATGTACACCTAGCACAATGTAGACTCCACTAGGAAGCAATAACGGGAACTAAAATTCATGAGTAGCTCTTATATATTACAGGCATTGTTCTAAATAAGGATACCTATCTTCAATCCTCATGATTACACACTATCAGACAATTTTAATTGTTATTTTACAGGTGAGGAATCTGGAACCTAAAGAGAAAAAAGTGGTAGCCCGCTGAAGGTTACACTGCTACCGAGCAAGAGAACAGCCTAGAATCCAGGAGAATGTTATTATTAATGGCATGAAAATTGTATAATGTGAAAAGCAAACTAGAATTGTAGCAAAATGTCCTAAATAAAACCTGTGACCCTTTATTTTACCTTAGCAGCTTCATTATTTCTGTGTCCCCCATAACTGAAGACGTGAACAGCCCTAGAAGCCCTAGAGCCTTGTCTTTGATGTACTGAGCTTTCTGCAGCTGTAGTCAACATCTAATTTTATAGATCTGTTTCTATGGAATCAAATCTCACAACCCACAGTACTAAATTGGAGGCAAAGGCCCAAGACTTTTGCACAGTTCCTGCTTTCTACACTGACTACACTAAAGCAACTGACATTTTAAATTGATTTCAGTTATTTCTGAAAACTAGGAAAATGCTGTGATTAAATGTGAATAAGTACGACTGGAAATCACAGAGCTTCTTACTGCTTCCTACAATCACAGTGCAGTAAGTTTTATTTCAAAAGAAAATGATGACAATGAAGAAAAGTAAATTTCAAAACCTATGGACCTGAGAAGGATCACAAGACAGACAGGTTTCTTAAGTTTGCCCTTCAGGTGACCCTTGCAATATTAAAGCTATAATGAGCAAAATGGCATTTTCCTAATGACTATCTTCCCTTTCACCACGCTCTCCATTGTCTTGTGGGGAACAACTTCCACAAGCCCATAAAGGGCAACTGTCAGCTTGCTCCTTCTGGTACTTTCTCTTGACTACCACATCATTCTGCCTCATCTATGAAGCCGCCTATAAAGACAGTGAAAAATCAACTCCAGATGGCCAAGAGATTAAGAATACAATATTCTAAAGGTTATCTGAAGAAAAGAAAGGAAAATAGAATCTCAGATGCTGCTAGAAACATTTACAATGACTAATAAATAGATTTTCATCAGAACTAAGTAGATGAATAAAATACTTTAAAAAATTTTTAAACAAAAAAATGACACAAAAGCCAATGAGAAAAATTATATGAAAAAGCTGTGAAGTTTATTGTCCCAAGATTAAATAATAACAGGGAATAATATGGAAGAGCAATGTTAGATCTCTACAAGTACATAGAATAAACCAGAAAGTTATCACATAAGTCAGTAATTCTACTCCTGGGAAAACACCCAGAAAAATGAAAACGCATCTCGGTAAACACATGTACATGTATTTCATAGCAGCATTTCTCTTAGCAATAAAAATAGCCACCTACTGATAAAAGGACACTGCAGCATATTTGCACAGTGGAATATTACTCAACACTAAAAATGACTGATGCTCTGATACAGGCTACAACATGGTTGAACCTTGGAAGCACTGTGCTAACAGCCACAAAAGACCACATACAGTACCGTTTACATGAAATATCCAGGAAAGGCAAATCGAGAGAGACAGAAAATAAAACAGTGGTTGCTTGGGGGCTTACAGGAGTGAAGAAGAGAGGTGGTGGGAATGAGGAATAACTGCTTAATGGATACAGGATTTTCTTCAAGAAGAAAAAATATTCTAAAATTAGATTGTGGTGATGAGTATCTAGGAATACACTAAATACCATTAAACAGCACCTTTAGAATGGATGAAATGTATATGAATTATTTCACAATAAAACTGTTAAATTAAAAAATAAACTGACAAACGGAAATTTAAAAAAGGTAGAACATTGTAATAAATAACCTTCAAAGAGAAAACTGAAAATCACAGTATCATTAACTATCAACTAAACTAGCAAAAAAGTAAATACAAATGATAAAACTTGGTAAAAGGGCTCCTAGCTCAGATCGCCATCTATGGTCTTTTCAGGGTTTGCAAGGCCTGCACACTGTCTTCATTCCCTCACCCAGATCACTTCTCTCCCTTCCTCTCTTATTGCTCGCCTTCTGGATCCCTAGACTGTTGGGACATTTGACTTCACATT